TGTGGGGTGCATGATTCCCCTATAGGGTGCAGGGTGACTTTGTGGGGTGTGTGACCTGCCTTTGGGGTGCACGATGGATTTATGGGACGCGTGGTTCCCTTTTGGGGTGCGCAGTGCGTTTATGGGGTGCATGGTTCCCCCATGGGGTGCAGGAATAATTTCTGGTAAAATCTGTAGGGTGCATGATGAACCCGTGGGGTGCGTGGCTCTGCCGTGGGGTCCGTGATGTGTTTGTGGGGTGTGTGGTAAATCCGTGGGGTGCACGGTCTGGTTTTGGGGTTGACTGTTTCTCTGTGGGGTGTGCAATGTGTCCGTGGGGTTCCTGGTAAATCTATGGGGTCCAAGGTGCGTTTATGGGGTAAATCTCGATGTGGGTGCGGCTGGGACCCCCCCAGGGACTCGTGGCTGGGACCCCAGGGGTGCACGTTCGGGACCCCCATCAAGGCTGGGCTGGGACCCCCCAACCAGGCTGGGACCCCCCCTCAGTGTGTGCATGGCTGGGACCCCCGGGGGGACGGGGATCGGGGGGTTCCGGCGTCCCCCGGGCCCAGCAGGTGCCCCCCAATTCCCCTGGATACTCCCAAGAACCCAAATGTGGGGAAAAGCTGGAGCTGCTGTGGGTCCGGGAGGGGTTTTGGGATCCCCCTGACCCCCCTTCAAATGTGTCCCGTTCTGTGCAGCGGGGTCTGAGGGTGCGGGAGAGGTTTTGGGATCCCCCTGATGCCCCAAATCCACCCCATTCCCAGGAACCGGAGCTGCAGCGGGCTCTGGAGCGGGCTCTGCAGCGGGCTCTGCGGGTCCGGGAGGAGTTTTGGGGTGACCCTGAACCCCCAAATGTGCCCCATTCCGAGGAGCCGGAGCTGCAGCGGGCTCTGCGGGTTCAGTAGGGTTTCTGAGGATCCCCTGACCCCCCAAATGTTCCCAGGAGCCAGAGCTGCAGCGGGCTCTGGAGCGGGCTCTGTGGGTGCAGGAGGGGTTTGGGGGTGACTCTGACCCCCCAAATGTGCCCCATTCCCAGGAGTCGGAGCTGCAGCAGGTTCTGCAGGTCCAGGAGGGGTTTTGGGATACCCCTGGCTCCCCGAAATCCTCCCCGTTCCCAGGAGCCAGAGCTGCAGCGGGCTCTGCGGGTTCGGGAGGATTTCTGGGGAACCCCTGACCCCCAAATCTGCTCCATTGCCAAAAGCCAGGGCCGCAGCGGGCTCTGGAGGGGGGCTGTGAGTCCGGGAGGGGTTTTGGGGTGACTCTGACCCCCCAAATCCGCCCCATTCCCAGGAGCCGGAGCTGCAGCAGGCTCTGCAGCGGGCTCTGTGGTTTCAGTAGGATTTCTGGGGATCCCCTGACCCCCCAAATCCGCCCGTTGCCAGGAGCCAGAGCTGCAGCGGGCTCTGCGGGTCCGGGAGGGGTTTTGGGGTGACTCTGACCCCAAAATCCGCCCCATTCCCAGGAGCCGGAGCTGCAGCGGGCTCTGGAGCGGGCTCTGCGGGTCCGGGAGGGCGCCCGGCGGTTGCTCCCCGCCTGCAGCCGGCCCGAGCAGGCGCTGGAGACCACCAAGACCCTGGTGCTGTGCGATGCCAGGGTGGTCGCCGCGGGGGGAGAGCTGCAGCGGCGCCAGGAGGCTCGGCTGAGGGGGGCCCGACGGTGAGGRACCCCAAAAATATCGGGGGAGGGGGTAGAGGGTACCCCGCGGGACCCCCGAGCATGGGGAGGGCACCCTGTGGAAACCCGAAAATGGAGAACCCCGCAGGGTGGTGAGGGGCACCCCAAAATGCAGCGGAGGGATATGGGGGGCCCCCACGGAGGGTGTGGTGGTGAGGGGCACCCCAAAACCTGGGGGGGCGCGGGGAACACGGCACCGGGGGGACCCCAAAACCCCGGGGGTGGGAGGAGGGACCCTGAGTGTGAGGGACACCCCAAAAACGGGGGGAACCCGGGGAGGCGCGGCTGTGGGGGGTGCGGTGGTGGCGAGGGGCACCCCAAATCTTGGAGGAGCACCCCAAAAGAGGGTGGAAGGCTCCGCTGACCCCTCCCCCATCCCCCGCAGCCCCTCGGACGCCGGGCCCGGGGCTGAGCGGGTGCCGTGCCGGGGCACCGTCTGCATCTCAGGTACGGGGGGACCGCGGGTCCCGGGGGGTCCCGGGGAAGGGGGACCCCATCTCTGTGCCCGCCCCCCTCCCGGGCACCGCCCGCAYTTGGGGTGCGGGGTTTGGGGGTGTCGCAGGGGGTCTCACCCCGCTCCTGCCATCCCTCCCTCCCCAGACCTGCGCATCCCGCTGATGTGGAAGGACACCGAGTACTTCAGGAACAAAGGGGGTGAGTGTTGGGGTGCCGGGGGTTCCCCCTTTTCCCCGTGACGCTCTCTGACCCCCACCCCGTGCCCCCCCAGAGCTGCACCGCTGCGCCGTGTTCCTGCTGCTGCAGGTGGGGGCTGAGATCCACGACACCCCCACGGTGCTGGTGGACCGGACCCTCACCGACATCTGCTTCGAGGGCGCCGTGCTCTTGTGAGGGGGGGCAGGGGACCCCCAAA